AATACAAGACTGTTCCACATCCCTGAATGTATGATGACACCTTGTCTTAAAACCCTGGCAGACTGACCCTAGGCGCCATTCTGGGGGATTGAATAAAAAGGCACTTAAACACCGAGGCACATCACCAGCCCTATCTATCTATCTGTCTATCTATCTATCTATCTATCTATCTATCTATCTAATTTGTGAGGCAGAGTCTAAATTGCTTAGGACATCACTAGTTTGCTGAGGCAGGAGGATTATGAATTCGAGACCAGTGTCAGAAACAATCAAACTTCGCAAACTGCATCACTGGACACCGAAAACTACTAGCATGTTGTCTGCCATAATCCCTTCATTCATTTTTTTTGAGAGAAGAGAAGAGAGAGAGAGAGAGAATTTTTTAATATTTATTTTTTCAGTTTTTTGTGGACACAACATCTTTATTTTTTATTTTTATATGGTGCTGAGGATCGAATCCAGTGCCCCACACTTGCCAGGTGAGTGTGTTACTGCTTGAGCCACATCCCCAGGCCCCTTCATTCATTTTTAAATGAAATATTACCATATGGTTTTTTGAAGCTATATAATGCGCACACTCATTCACGGCAAATGCTAAACACTGTTGTGAATTCTGTAGCGGGGTGGGGGTCAGAGGAATAAGGTGGAAGTAAAACCAGGCAAAACCCAGCTGTCTGACTGGAACTGGCCTTCCTTCCATTCCAATCCAGGCTGAAATCTGCTCACCTCCAGAATGTGTCTAACCCCCTAAATCCACTGTCTAGACCTCACTGAAAGCTCTCCTTGCTATCAGGGCGGGAGAACTGCGCCAGTGCTTCCACAGAGCAGAGTTCCAGCTTGCTCCTGGGTGGAGTAGTAGAAAAGGGACCAAACAAGGAGCTGAGGGCATGCACATTCTCATCTAGAGTCTGTCCCTAACAACTCATGTGACTCCGAACAGATCTTTAGCCCTTGTCTCCATTTTTCACCTGTAAAGTGAGAAGAATGCCTTATGCCTCTAATTTTCCTTCCAGTTTTAAGGCTTAAGATTCAAAGTTAGGAATTGTGGTATTTCTCTCTTGGTGTGGGTCCTCTCAAAGGGAAGTTTACCAAAGATCCTTGGGTTGACCTTCCCTTGCACTTGGGTCATTGGTTTAACAAAGGACCCACTCTTAGCAGAGAAAGAATGAGAACGGAGAAAACTCCAGACATAGAGTAGTCCCTGCCTTTGTCCAACAGTTGAAGGAAGGAAATTAGCTTCCTGGGTTGGCTATGACTTCCCTGTGTGCATCTGTCTCCTTCTGGCTAGATGTGTCTAGAAAAGGATTGGAGCTGGTCTCCTGGCTTAGGACTTTTGTTAAAATGCAGAACTCCCAGTATTTCTTAATAGTTCTTGTGTATTTCTAGATTACTCAAGGAATGTAGCATTACTATTCCTAGAAACTTCTCCCCTACCTCCATTAACTAATATTTGAGGGCCTGGTTTTATTTTGTTTATACCAGGGATTGAATCCAAGGGGTGCTTATCCGCTGAGCCACATCCTCAGCTCTTATATTTTGAGACATGGTGTCGCCAAGTCACTGAGACTGGCTTTGAACTTGAGATCCTCCTGCCTCAGTCTCCTGAGCTGCTAGGATTACAGATGTATGCCAGTGTGCCCAGCAGAGGGCCTGATTTTAAACCAAAACTCAATTGTGGTACCCTTGATTGAAAACAAGGAACAAGTCTAAGTTTTGGTTTGTTTTATTCATGTCTTTATTTATTTATTTATTTATTTATTTATTTTTTATGTGATGTTGAGGGTTGAACTCAGAGCCTCACGCATGAGGCAAGTGCTCTACTACTGAGCTACAACTCCCGCCCCTCCTCTGTACATTTCTGTCCCTGTTGTCCTAAGGTCAGTCTGCTTGGTTGGGGTTCAGTCTCTCAGAGCTGTCCTAACTTCACTTCCCTGTGCCTTGATTTCCTCATCTGGAAAAGAGATGTTCAGATTTAATGCAGTAACACAGATAAAGCACCCAGAACCAGCCTGGCACATAGGAGCGACTCTAGAGATGTGACTGCTTCTTACATTTTTCTTCCCACTGCTTTACTCCTCCCCTCCCACTGTCCTCCTGGGTGGATGGAAAAACTAAATGAGCAGCAGACTCAGAGCTGCTGTGGAGAGAGAACAGAGAGATTTTCTGGCTGCTCTCGGCTATTCTTGCAATTCTTGGCACCCCACGAGTCTTGCATTGGTGAGAGCCAAAGAGGCTTTTTGGAAGGATTGAGTGCCCAGCCTGGCCCAGCTCAGTGTGCAAGCTCCCTGGGCAACACGTGTGCTGTCTGGCTGTGCCCTTCAGAGAGCCCAGCAAAAAGTGGGCACTGGGTTGCAGACCTGGTTGTATGGGAATGCAGAGTTCACCTAACTCAGACTGATAGAACATGGGACCAAGCAGGTGTATCTCACTCATCTGTCTCACTGGACACCAAACATGTTCCTGTGGCCCTCACTCAGTGTTCTTGTGCTCTCCAGTAAGGAAAAGGAATGGCTTTCACTGAGTGAGAAATTACCAATCCTCTTACCTTGGTAATTGTATTACATTTGATGATGTAGATAGCTAGAGCTGAAAACAGGGAAGGGGAGAGCAAAGATAATAAGAAAGCCTGGGGGACACTGTTCACTTCTCAATCTAGTGCATCCTGCCAGCTGAGACACTGGGCTGCTCCTGCAGCCATGGCTCCTGTGCTAGAGCCAGTGGGACAGCCTGACATGCTACAGGGTGGGCATCGGTGTTAGCAGTTCCCTTAGGTAGAGATTTCCCTAGATTACTACTACTCACAGCAGACTCTCTCACTGTCTTCCCTAGAGCCATGTGTCCTGGCTCAGACTGTTTTGGTTATTGTCTTCTTAGTAGCAGACCCAACCATTATGACTTTTAGCTAAGATATCAATTATCCTGAAGATGCTTAGGGTTGAGATTAGGGAGTGCAGGAGTTGGGGGAGGAATGATTTTTTTTAGCTGTGTAATTATGAAGGTAACTGGAGTTCATTATCACAAAATGAAGCAGCATAGAGCATCTAAAATAAAAAGTCATGTCCCTTCTTCCACTGTAGTCTCCCTTCCTGAAGGTGATTAGGTAGCCCCAAAAGGCAATGTGGGTCTGTCTTTGAAAGCATTTCCTTGCTTATGCTCATGCAAGCATGTATGAGTTTCTTTGTTTTCTCAGGGTGTCTCACTCTCTGTGGTGTTCTGCAGCTTGCATTTGTGGTGTGGTAATTCAACATGTGGACAAATTAGTGTACAGAAGTTTTACCAACTTTTTTTTTTTTGGAATGTGGGGATGCTACTTAATAGTTTGTCATATAGACATTCCACCAATTTTGGTTTTTGGGGGTAGGAGTAACAGGGATTGAACTCGGGGGCCCTCAACCACTGAACCACATCCTTAGCCCTATTTTGTATTTTATTAGAGTCAGAGTCTCACTGAGTTACTTAACACTTTGCTAAATTCTTGAGTCTGGCTTCAAACTCATAATCCTCCTACCTCCACCTCCCGACTACTGGGTTTACAGGCCGCCCAGCCCCACCAATTATTAATGAAAGCGTTGTTAGTCTTGGGACAAGGCAACTATTTGAAAGTTTATATAAGAAAGCCATCAGGTGACTATCCTTCAGCCTCCTCCCTGCAGCGATTAGGAGGCCAGGTCTCCAGAGGCCTGAGTGGAAGGGGGAGGAGATACCAAACTACAGGGAGGAGGGTCAGCTGGACATCTCTCTACTTCTGGTGAGGCTTATTGGGTTCCAGAAGTTCAAAGGTAGAGACCAGAGTTTGAGGGATTCTTTGTTTGAAGGGGAACATTACAAAGAAAAGTCCTGTAGATACAAATGTTTGATCATGAATGAAAAAGATTCCTAATACTTTTATTACAAAAATCCAAAATGGATCATTCAACCAATACAATAGTGCATTGAATAAGGACAAACACATCACATCAATTACTATTTTCCCCCAAAACATAAGGACGATGCAATACTGGAAACCCTGTATATAACATCATTAGCCCAAGGAGGTAAAAATATCATTATTTCAATTGATTGATTCAAAAAACAGATTCAATGAATTCAATACCATTTTATGTTTAAAATTCTCAATAAAATAATAATAAGGGGAAACACACTGGATTAAAGGGAAACACACTGGATATATATATCCTAAACCAAGCTTTATATTTAATGGAAGAACTTACTTTTATGAAACATAGCAGTGGAGGTACTGACCATTAGGTTAAAGAAAGAAAAAGTAAAGGTGAGAATTAAAAAGGATGACATAAAACTTTTTCTTTCTCTTTTCTTTTTCCTTTTTTGCTGGAGAGAAGGCTGTGGTACTGGAAATTAAACCCAAGGCTTTGCAAATGCTAGGCAAGTGCCCTACCACTGAGCTACATCTCCAGCCCTGTTTTATTTTTTGTTTTGAGACAGGGCCTCACTAAGTTGCTGAGGCTAGACTCAAACTTTTGATCTTCCTGCCTCCCAAGTAGGTGGGATTATAGGTGTGGGTCACTGCACCCAGCAGTACTTTTTGTTTTCATATGTTATAGTCAGATACAAGATATATCTATCAAATCAAGTTGCATTTATCTATGCCTGCAATAATCAACTAGAAAACAAGAAATAAAATAATAGCAAAAGGCACTATAAAGTTTCTGATATTAAGTTAAACAAAAATATGCAGAACCTATATGAAATCTAAATAAATGGCCTGACATTCTGTATTCTTGCGTGAGATCAAGTATTGTAAAGATTTTAATCTTCCTTCCATGCAGATTTATAAATTTGGTGCTATTTCAATAACTATGAAGTAACAAATATTTTCTACTTAATAATTTAAACCAACAATAATAATTATCTCTCAATTTTTGTAAGCCAGGAATTTGGAAATAGCTCCCCTGGGCATTTTTTGGCTTTTGAAGCCTTTCATGAGATTGCAGTCATATGGGAGTTATGGCTGTCACCATCTCAAAGACTTTTTCACTTACATGACTCGTGCTCAGCCCTGGGGGCTCTTCTGGTATCTCTGTTTCTGTGTAAGTTTTTCATGTGATATCTCCAGTACAGTTCCTTCAAGTAGCTGCACTTAGACTTATTACCTTTCAGGGATCCCAGGACTGATGTCCCCAAGAAAACCAGGTGGAAGTTGCTTTGCTTTTTTGCACTCACCTTGGAAGTCACACAGAATCACCTCTCCCCTGTTCTGGTTGAGAGAGGTACAAAGATCACTCTAGGGAGAAGAGATCATAAAGTCCATCTCTTTTTGGCGGGTGGTGCAGGTATTAGGGATTGAACTCAACCACTGAGCCACATCCTCAGCCCTATTTCATATTTTATTTAGAGACAGTATCTCACTGAGATGCTTGGTGTCTCACCGTTGCTGAGGCTGGCTTTGAACTTGTAATCCTCCTGTCTCAGCCTCCCAAGCTGCTGTATTACAGACATGTGCCACTGTGCCTGACCAGAGCCCATCTCTTGATAGAGAAATACTGGTGTCACATTTCAAGGAGGTCATGTGGGATGAGATAGATATTGATATAGCTGTCTTTGGGAAATAACAGTGTGCTTTAAGTTCAATTCCCTTCAGAATTCTAATTTTTTTAAGAACTTTTATTTTTAAATGTATTTGAATTAACTAGGTCATCCTTTAGAGAAAAGAGAAAAGGGGGTCTTTTGCACTGGTATGTGGCATGTTATAAGCTGGCAAACCATGATGTCAACACCAGAGTGGTAGCTGCAGGAACAAGTAGTGGACAAATGAAACGGAATAAAGAGCTTACACATGTGTTCATGTGGGAACTGAATGCATTATAAAGAGTACCAGAAACCAGTGGAAAAGGATGGATTGCTTAGTAGACAATTGGGAGAATTGACTTATTAGATGGAAAAACATAACCAGGATCTCACACGATGGTAGACTCTATCTAGAAGGGTGAAAGACCTAAATGAGAATGGTAATATTGTAAAATTAATTCCATATCCACCGTCCCTTATTTACAAATCTGAAATCCAGAAAGTTCTTGAAAAGCGTGTTCATTTTCAAAACTCAAATGGTAGCAAACTTGAGCTGAGGTGAGGCGTCTTAATGTAATATCCCTTTTAATGTAAATATCATAACACTCTATAATTTTTTTGGAAAAAGTGTTATTATAAGAACTTAGAAATATTTCAGAAAAAATCTTAAAAATAGGATAATGGATACCCATATATCCATCACTTGAATTAAACACTTACTGACATTTTGCTATATGTTTATGTACATGTGTATGTATGTGGTTGTGTGTGCTTCTTGTTTATGTTGAACCATTTGAAATAAGTTGCAAACATTGTGCCACTCTGTATCTATTGCTACTTGCATATAGCTATTTCATCAGAAAAAAGGATGTTTCCAGGGCTGGGGCTGGGCTCAGTTGGTAGAGTGCTTACCTAGCATTTGTGAGCCAAGGGTTCGATTCTCAGCACCACATATAAATAAATAAATAAAGGTCAATCAATAAATAAAAAATATTTTTAAAAAATATTTCCAACAGAATCACAATATTAAGGTCACAATTTTTAAAATTAACTAATTCTATAATATCTAATAGTTGATTTTCAGTTTTCCCCATTATCCCCAAAATGTTTTTCCCATTCAACATGTTTAATGAACATTTTTTATTATTTATAGAACAATAATGCTTAGTGAACATTATTAAATATCTGCTATTAAAGTAAATGAAGGGCTGGGGATGTGGCTCAAGCGGTAGCGCACTCTCCTGGCATGCGCGGGGCGCTGGGTTCGATCCTCAGCACCACATAAAAATAAAAAATAAAGATATTGTGTCCACCTAACACTAAAAAATAAATATTTTTTTAAAAAAAGTAAATGAAGCCTGGCATAAATCTGTAATCCCAGTGGCTTGGGAGAATGAGATAGGAGAATTGTGAGTTCAAAGCCAGCCTCAGCAACAGTGAAGTGCTAAGCAACTCAGTGAGACCCTGTCTCTAAATAAAATACAGAGTAGGGCTGGGGATGTGGTTCAATGTTCAAGTGTTCCTGAGTTCAACCCCTGGTACCAAAAAAAAAGTAAATGAAAATTCAAAATAAAGTAGACATCCTCACTGCCCTAATGAACAATCTCATGGGCAGATGGAAACATACACAGAAAGACTTCTGAAGCAGAGCTCGGGGGTCATAGGCAGAGAACCAGTTTCTTTTCAGAGGGGGAGCTTCTGGGACAGTGCTAAATCCTATAAATATCCTAATCCTGTTCCCTCTCTGCTTAGACCTCTGAGGGAGATTTGACTTTAGGTAGACCAAAAACCAAAAATTCCTTTCTTTAGATAACATGATTGAGCCAAAATCTAGCCAATGTTCATACATTACATTTGGTTGTCTTGTTTCTTTCTTTTTTTTTTTTAATCCAGAGCACCATCCCCTACCCTACATGGGTGGGCATGCGTGCACATGCTTTTCCAAGTGACACTGCCTTCTTATAAAGACCAAACTGATTGATTTATTGACTGTCCCTTGTTCTGAATTTTCTGTTTCCTCAGAGTATCATTTACTGTGTTCTTCTATCCCCTGTATTTCTTTATAAACTGGAATTTAAGTCTAAAGCCTCAACTGTATTTCAGTTTAAGCATTTTGTGCAATAAAGATGTTGCTACGAACTTCACGTTGTATAATGAGAGGAAATATCACCAACATAGGTTATCCCATCATCAGTTCAGTTAAGTTTGATTGTTTGGTTAAGATGGTGGCTTCCAGATCTTTCCCTTGTAAAGATACAAAGTTGACTGATAGAGGACCATAAACAGTAAGAAAATGTAGGATATCTGTGTTACAAGAACAGTGAAGCACTTCTTATAACACACCCAAGGCAAACACACAGATGGCATTTAAAGCCTGGAAACTCAGAAGGAAGAAAGTATAAAAGAAGGAAATAGAGGGTCTTAAACTAAGCCTTGAGGCCATGATGAGTGGAGTTGAGAGGATGAGGAGGAAACAAAATTGGAGACAAAGGAGCAGCCAGCCAGTAAGCTAAGAGCAGAACACAGAGCGAATCAGGGGAGCCAGGTAAGACCATATGTCAAAGAGGCCGGTGTGGCGATGGCCAGACCAGTGCTACCAGGAATAACAGAAGTGTATAGCTAGGCTTAGTAGCACAGAGTCTAGCAGTGAGAACAAAAGTCTGGCTGAAGTTGGATGGGGGGAAAAGAAACGATGCAAAGAAGTGGGGGTTAGCCATCAGGGAACACAAGGGCAAGAGAAAACATTTCCTATTTGTTTGCTGATGGGAATGATCCAATAAAAGGCAAAAAATGAAAAAGTCACATACTCAAAATGTCAATCCACATTTTGCAAGCACACCTACAAACTGAAGGATGCAAATAAGAACATTGTAGTGGTCGCTTATGGAGCAGAGGGTCTCTAGGGCCAGAGAATAGGGACAGCTCTCAGGGCTGAAAGGAAACAGATGAGAAGACAAAAGACCTTGCTCAGACCAGTGTGCTAAGGCCTGCTGAATGTGATTAAACCAGTCCCTGATACCAGAGGATAAAAACAGGTGGGCAGAGAACAGCCTGACTCCTGTTACCTTGCTGTAAAACCACCAGGTAGCCAGCCCCCACCTGTGTACATGTGAGGGGAGATTAAAGTCTGCAAGGGCTCAGCACAAGGGCTTAAAATTAAGACTTACCCTTTTACAGGAAGCCCCTGGAGGATGCACTCTCTTCTAATGACAGAGTAAATTGAGAAAGGGGAAAACATGGACTCTAAGAAAGGGGATCTAGTAGCACCAGAGGAAGATACCTATGTCCTGGGTGGGTTATAAAAGATGCTGTTCTTACCTATAGGGAGCTAAGTGAATTGGAGACTGGAATGAGATGGGGAGGGAGAATTTTTCTTTTTCTTTTGTACTTTTGAATACAGCTTGATTTTCTTCTTTTTTAAATCAAAACATGAATTACTTTTGTAGTTGTAATTTTTTTTTAAAGAGAGAGAGAGAGATAATTTTTTTAATATTTATTTTTTAGTTCTCGGCGGACACAACATCTTTTGTTGGTATGTGGTGCTGAGGATTGAACCCGGGCCGCACGCATGCCAGGCAAGCGCGCTACCGCTTGAGCCACATCCCCAGCCCCTGTAGTTGTAATTTTTGTTGTTATAAAGTATCTGTGTCCTAAGTATTTATTATTTTTTTAATGGAATTTACCCAAAGGATGAAACTGGACAAGTGCCCAAATACTAATTGCTATGTTGTTTCTGATACTAAAAAAAAAAAAAAAAACTGGAAATAGCCTCAGTGTCTGTCTGTAGGAAATTAGTTAAATAAATTATATCTTCAGATAATAGCATACTATGTAACTGTTTCTTAAAAGATATGAGGGAGATTGTAATATTTCCATGGAAAGAAAGAATATTTTTAAATTTAAAAAAAAAAGCAGATTTCAAATAACAGATAAGGGTTGGGATAGCTTAGTGATAGAGTACCTGCTTAACATTCCCAAGGCATTGGATTTGGTTTCAGCACCACAAAAAAATAGTATAATAAAATAATGTAGATGACATGATCTTGCTTCCCCCGCTCCCAAACACACATCTTTTCTCTTTTGAACTGAGAGCCTACTACTGAACTATTTCCCCAGGCCTTTTTATTTTTTATTTTGAGACAGGGCCTTGCTAACTTACCCAGGTCAAATTTGCGATCCTTTTGCCTCAGTTTCCCAAGCAGCTATTGATAATAGGTATGTGCCACTGTGCCCGGCTCACTTATGTTTTTTTCAGATCAATCCCAGGGCCTTATACATGCTAGGCAAGTGCTCTACTACTGAGCTAGACCCCCAGTCCTGGTTTTTTCCCTTTTTTTTAAAGTCTTGCTATGTAAACATTTTAGTCCAGAAATATACTTTTTAAATAAAACTTTTACTACATAGGATGGGGGTACGGAATGAGTCTCAAAGTTTAGAGCTGTGGGTGCTGATGTGTGTTTCCCAAGAGAACAGTGCTGCAGGAAAGCCTTTGGCAAGAGGAAAATGACAGGCAAAATTGGTGCATATGCACACTCTACTGTTTGCTTTAGTGACTGGAGCGCTATGCCCCCTCCAGTAGGGAAAAAGCAGGGGCTCTGCCAGCCATCCAGGCTCTGAGTCTGTGTG